TCTACTAAGGCTGTCCCGAATTCAACAAAAGTTAATTGTAAAACTCGGGAAAAAAAATGTTTTCACTGTTCATCTAATCCGTCAGCCGAGTATATAAAATAAGTAAATTAGTTTTTGTGAATGATATAGGGGTATTGCATTCACCGTTATATATATAATGAAACACCTCGGTAGAATATTTATAAGCTATTTTCCTCGCTTTGCCCGTGACTGTGATACAATAATTTGAATATACATATAATATATTATCATTTTTTTTCCATTCTATGCCGTTAATTTGGTCTCAAAAAGTTTTTCCATTTGTTGACCCAACTGACTGATAAAAAAACTGCTTTTAATTTTACTTGTTTATACCTCCCCGCGTCCCTTTTTCAATTGTCTGCCTTTCTTTTGCTGGCTAAAGAGATGAAGAAATTTTTCAAGCCCAACACTATGTATCAGACTAACTTAAAGAATACTCTTTCTCGACAACTTTTATAATTAATTGTTCTACGTTGTAAATTTATAAAGTGAACAAATAATTTTCCAGCCTACAAATAAGCAGAGAAACCCCAACCATCGGGTTCATGATAATCGATCGAATGCCGTGATAAACACAAAGGTCCATGGGGACAAACTTTTCGAAAACATTTTGTACCCCTCAGATTCGCTTTTGTCTGTATAATATTTATGTGCTTGAAAAATAAGTTTTTGTCCGATCGGCCATTTGCGAAACTGTGGAAAGTCACTAGGAACAAATTTCTAGGGTAATTTATGGCTAGGGACGAAAATAGCCCCCTTTTTTAGCACCATTCACTATTTTACAATCCATATTTATGAACTTATTACCTACAATCATGAAACCGTACAAAACATAATTTCTATACAATATCGTCCAATGTGTTTCAAACATAAAAAAAAAAATGTTATATTATTTATAAACATATATACTATTGATTCAAGTTTAATATACTAATTATTTACCTTATGTAATATTTTATTTGAAATATAATAAAATTATCTTAAAAATTTTAAATCTAATGCTACTTCAATATCATAATATACATTACATGCATCTACATATTAAATCCAATTATTAAAAAATACTGATATGTATGAAAAAATAATAACCTTGTAGTGCTCTATAGAAATAGTCTCTACCAAAGAAACTGTGTCGTTCGACTCCCGCGGTATTTACTTCAAAACAGTTATATAGCCTGGAGTTGGTCCAATTTTTTTGGTTTTTCTTGCTTCTTATTTGTCTGTTTCTTTTATTTATTTACCAGCAAACTTGCAAGATCAATAGTCTCAATTGAATTTTCACCAGACTGTTATTTTGAAAATTTTAACGAATTAATGTCGTATATAATTGAACTAAACAACAAATGGAAATGAAAAGAATATAAACTATCTGATTTCACAAACGATTTCACAAGAAAAAAAAATAAAGATTTCAGTATAAAATAAATTACATTTCATCTTTTAAACTCCCATAAATATGTATAAGACGACAATATCGAAACAAGTAATAGAAACGTTTAATGTTTTGTAAGAAAAAAGAACAATTTTTTATAATATCAGTGATAATAATTATGTTAAAAAATTACATATTTTAACATTATAATATCTAACACTTAGACATATCATTTATGTTACAACAATAATTATATAGTTCTAAAAAACTTAAAAATAATTATTTATCCATCTTTTTTTTTCATAGAAAATTGTTTCATGAGTAATATTTACCTATACTATTAACTACATATATATATATCTAATATGATATATAATACTAAATAATCGATTAAAATATTATTTTAACATATTGTGTTTGTATAACAAAATCAATATTAGTGATTTTTCATATAAAATGTAAACAAAAATAATATAACCTAATGTTTGCGGAGCATAGGTACAATTTGGATTACATTTTTTTTGGGGGGAGGGGGCAAGATTATGTTGACCAAAATGACCTGTAGATGACTTTTCCTCCACATCACTCTCCTACATCACCATTCATATATTTTTGTTACGCTACCTTATTATTTATTAATAATCTTTAATAAAAGAAAATATTGACAAAGAAAATAAAACACAAATTTTAAATATAACTTATAAGTAATTACATTTTTTTTATTTTTATTTAAATATTACATTAAAGATTAATATACGTACGTCTTGGAGAGATATTCAAAATATTAATTATTTTATCTTTATCAATTTTAATGCTCAGATTTCTCTAAATATTAATAACTGTTTTCCATTTACCAAGTAGTCGAAAGACGTTTCGGCGTAATCGTTATTGACTCATCGATAATTGTTTTATAAAATATTCTTGCGTAATTAATACATAATAATTTATTAATCATAATTCATAATATAAACAATAAATTAACAATAATATTTTCTTTATTATTCTGATTAGTGATCGATATGTTTTATTATTATTATTATGAAAATGAAAAGTTCTAGAATCAAATATATTCTAATGCCTATGACATAATATTATAGTTTATAATTTATAATCAATAAAAATTCGATGATGTTATTAAAAATTTAGAAGTGCTAATATGAAATTTGAGGATGCTAAGCACCCCCAAGCACCTTCAAATTGCGCCTATGAATTGCGGAGAGAACTTGAACGATTCAATAAACGTATAAACGTTATATTTCAATACGTTAAAATATTTGACTAAATCAAATAGACCAGATAAACGGTATTCAGCTATCTACTCAAGTTATCCTTTCAGATATATCTAACTTGATTTCGGTCGATTTGAAATATTATTGACTCCAGGCCGGTTAAAACGTCCTACTTATACTTCATTATTATTATCTCAATTTCTTATTTTATTTTTATTTATTTTTTTACCAATGATATTTTATTACTGATCACTATTTATACGATCAAATCAAGGACTAAAGACTAATGACGTGTTACTCTCAGTAGAAAATTAAAATCAAGAAGAGATCTCCATACTGTAATACTTAAAACGAAAAAAAAAATGGCGTTACTATCAAATAAAAGGTTTGAAGTGATGTGGGCAAGCGAATGATAGATTACAATGAAATCACGTCTATATCCTGGTATAATAAGTTCAGAATAGTTTTTCAAATCGTTTTGCTCAAGTACATACCATTTTTATTCGATCGTTCGAAAACCTATCGTAGTGTGTGACGGTGACCATCTCGTTCGAATTATTCTAATCCGTTAGAATAGTTTTATAATATCGTGTATATTGTTATTGTCTGAGAATTCGCCGTTTCAACCGACCTTGACGTTAATTAATTCTACACGCAACACGGCCAAATTATAATATAATCTACAAACCGTACAATATTGATATAGTACATAAATATTATATTATATTAATACACTGCGAGACCTGTTGCCACCGCATTGTCACCTAGAAACCACTTCTCAGATTGGCGGTGCGAGGTTCGCAAGATGGTGATCGGATTATTCGAATGCCTTCTGCGGCGCGCTATTTAACGATTAATTCACGCACGTACCATGCAGCGATGCTGATACAAGGAATGCGCATTCGAGAAGGTCACGAAATGATAAAAGCCCGACTTCTAAGACGCTTTGTCTGCACGTAAGTATAAGAAATAAATGTATAGAAAATTCGTTTTACGAATTCGATAGGATTAGAGTCAATATGTTTTTCGGTTCATTTCGGCAATGCCAAAAATATTTAATTATTCAAAAATGTCGTCTCCGTATCAGTTTTATTATGACTTTAGACCTACAATAAGTACGAAAAATACATATTTAAGATATGTATCACTTAATATTCGTAATGCTAAAATTAAAACGAATGGTATTCGTACCTCTTTTAATATGTATTTGAATCGAGATTCGTTAGATATTCGCAAATGAAAATTTTACTGAATAGCTACTTTTATTTTAATTACTATAAATAATCAAATTATCGATGACCCGCAGTTATCTATGACTGATTGTGTCATCTTGTTGTAATTTAAGAAGTATAAATGAGTTGCTATTGTGTTTGGCTTCGACTTTACTCTTGTTTTTTTTTTTTTTTTACTTGAAAATTAATGATATAAATTTAGCTGTTTAGTCGTAATTAATAATAATATAATGTTATGGCTAAATCGTATTCGTTAGAAAAACATATATTCCGAAAAAAAAGAATAGCGCTTTTTTTTTTTGTAACCGATAATATTAGGAATACAAGTATAATGTATGCGTGGAAATTGCAAAAATTCTTTATTAGTTTTAGAAATTTATCGCTTCACTAAAATATGTCGACATAAAGTATTTATACAATAATGAACTCAACCATTTTATTGGATTATGTCTTCACGTCGTTCCTCCTCAACCGCCTCTCAACACTGAACACATCCCTGCTGTGTACGGTTGCCTACCTGTGTATAGGGCATAATTATTATCGCCACTCTTGTGCGCAAACGACGGCAACAACAACAATTACTCAGTGAAAACGTCTTGGTCGGCGCTACGCACACTGTAGTGTATACACGTCAAAACCACCCTTTTCTCGATATTGCCGACTAGGGGTGGTAGAAAAGGCCCAACGTCTTAGGGGCGCGACTCGTGCAAGCGCACATTTATCATTTCTCGCAGAACGGCCCCCTGTGAACGCGTGGTATAGAAGTATTTTGTCGCCTTTTTTTTTTTCATGTCACCGAGCGGGTTTAATAACAATAATAAATCCGTACACTCACAACCCGCCACCTCCCTCCATCCATCCTGCCAGCCATTGCTGAGAAACGCTTTTCGACGACTTTTATGCACGCTGTACCTGTTACGCCGATCAAGCCACTGCTGTCATGCTCTTCATTTCTAATAAATGGAACCAGCAGAAAACACATATATACGTATATATATATATATATATAATGCATATATGTATTATGTGTATCATATTATAATGAATGATTAACGTTCTACGCCTACAATCACCTCCACCACAATTCCCTCTACTTCCATATGTACGCATGTTTACTGTTCTCTAACCGAGTGTGTCTTTTTACAGGCAAACTGGCGACGTACACGCAGAGACCACCGCCGTCTTCGACGCCACCGTCGGCACTGCATCAGACCGACCATACGTCCTCCATCCCTGGAAACGGTACCGACCAGCTGTATCCGTTTTTCGATTACTATGTGCCCCGCAATATCACGACTACAATTGGACAGAGCGCATTTCTCCACTGCCGGACAGAAAACTTGAACGACAAATCGGTAAGTGATACAATGACGAGTAAAAAAACAAAAATTTTCCTCAGGAAAAATGTCCACAATATTTCCAATTATTTTTATTATTATTGACGTATTTGCCAGTCAATGAAAATAATTCTGACTATTGGCTTAATTGCGGAGTAGGTTACTTCATTACAATTTACATAAACACCACAATCAATACATAATATGTACATAGAAACACACGTGAAACATATTATTATCATGACTAAAATAATTGATTAAAGGAATAATATTGTATAACACTATAAAACCGAGTTAAAAAAAAAAAAAACGTAATTATAATAAAATTATTTCTGTCGGTAGTTTCTCTAACTGAAATGATACATTTAAAAGGATTAAGCGCTATATTAATAGTTTTTGAAATAAAATTATTGATGTATGATTAAAATCCTATTAAAATAATAAATAAAAAGCGGGTTTGTATAAAAAAAAAAAAAAATCATGCTTATATATGTAATATATTTTAAATAAGATACCATTTATAATACCTAGTACTTCTTAATAATTGTTTAAAAAAATAAATTTATTTATTTCATGTATGTTTTTAATTTTAAATAAATGAATAATTATAACCGCGTAATAAAAACGAACACAATATAATTCCATAAACGATAAACTATATACAATATGCTCTCCAGGACTAACTCGTTAGATTATGCATAATATTAAAACCACCGATAACATGATTCATGATTGTACGGTCAATTGCGAATATTATCATTATTATTATTAATATACAATAATAATGATTAACAACGACGCCTTTTAAGTCAGTGAAGTGCCGACGAATTAGTACAAATCAAAAATCTCAAAACTCTGTTCATATTATTGGTATAGATACTTACATTCGAGGCCGGTCTTAAGGTGAAGCGAGGTCTGTGGCAATTTGTTTTAGGAAATGTCTCAGAATACAATTTTTTATAACGCGAGGCCCAAAGTGTTATACAAATGCACCAGACTCGGGGCACCGGTATCGCTTATATCTACCTAAACCCGGCTTCGTGGCAGCATCATTTACATAGACAATCGTTGACATAAAATATTTATCGTGTTCGATCACTTGCGTGGCTTGGATTCAAAATAAAGACAATACCATTTTCTGGCTGAATGTCGCAGTCGAATCGTTAGACATTTTTATTTGCAGATAAATTGAGATTGTTTTTATTCTGTAAGCCTATTACCTTTCTTATTTTTATTATCAATTTTCCGATCGAACCACAACTACAACGACGAAACAATAACAACTTGTGTACCATTGATACAGCATGTTCGGGCCTATCCACCGTGTTTCCTCTCCGAATGACGTAGACGTTTAAAGACAAACGCGATATAAATGCACCCATACAAACGTTATCAAATATCACTTGCCCTTAATAACAAATTACTAAAAGCATTTATAAACATAATGCACTATATACATTTGGTTCTATTTCATATCGAATGAATTAAAGTCGACCTAATTTAATTATTTTATTTATTTAGGAAATTGAACAAGATACGTAGTTAGCCGTTTTCCAAAATCCGTCTTGAATATATTTGCAATATAAATAAATACAATATCTCGTAAAAATCCGAAACTTTAAATAATTTACATAAAATTATATGTAAATATACAAAACTTGTTCCGTGAAGTTCGATCAAATGTTTTCAATCAATTTTGTATGTTGATTGATTTTTTTTTTTGCCTAAGTGAGTTTCATTTATATAAACGTAAACCATATTTTAACACCTTAATAATGTATGTAATAGATAAGGCACGAAAAAAGTTTTTTTTTTTTAATCAGAGGTAGTAAAATACAAGCGAACTTGTTTATTTTTATTTTCATTATTTACAACTGTCGAACAAATGGTTCAAAATTAATTTTACTTTTGCAGTTTTTTTTTTTTTTTTTTTTACTAGTAAATGAAATATAAAAGAATGCAAATTCTGAAAAACAACAAAATGTTATAGTTTTTCTTCTTCTTCCTTAAAAAAAAAAAAAAAAAAAAATAGATTCATTTAAACAATTTTTCACAATATATTTGTTAAAATATTATTATTTAATTATTAATATTAATTTTAATTTTAAAAATTGTAAAATTACTTTTTTATATCAATAATTATTAATACCAGCGTTGTTAAGCACAAAAACTTTTTGTTCATTGTTTTAAACAATTAAAAATATCAATACGCCATAATACATTATTTAATTTTTGTAATATAAGCAACTTTAAAGAAAAACTTTTATTCGATTAAGATAACGTATACTTAAAAATTTAAAGTTAGAAATTGCTGTCTACTGTCCCTAATTATATAATCAGTATTTTGATTTTTACTCCCCCCTCAAAAAAAAAACAAAAACACAAAAATCTTCTATAACACAAAAATACAACTTTTTTTTAATGATGCTTAAATAACTTACCTAATTAATTATTTTATTTGTCTCATTTCACCATATTAATAATGTAAAATGCATGGACAAAATAACTACCACATTATAATATATAATCCAACTTCTTAAACGATTTTTGTGAGCTCTGAAATCCAAATATGTTGTGACATTTATTTAAATAATATGGTTTTATGTAATATATATTATGTGTGTGTGTGTGTGTGTGTGTGTGTGTGTGTAATTTAATTCAGTACAAAAATATCGACAGTGAAATTCCGACATCATCAAATATTATTTTAAACTTCGACACGAGTAACTAAAATACGACTACGGCATCAATCCAATCATAAATACTATAATTCATATTGGTACTATGATAACATAATATTATTATAACGAAAATGTAAACATTAAAACATCACATCGATAGTAATAATCTGCCATATAAATTTTAATTAAACCACGCTGCTAACTAAAGATACACAAGAAATGTTACGTAGTATAGTTGATATGAATTACTGACATTAACAATGATTAACATTTAAAACAATATATTTACTGTCTTTATACAAGTTTGAATGATGAACAACTTAGTTGGTTCATGTGCAAAATACGTAAAGTTGTTGATTTAAATAACTTTATCTTAAATCAAATTGTACAAATAATAATTACTTAATTATAAAAAGCGTAATTCAGCTTATTACAAATTTGTTATTAACATGTAAAAACAACATTCATAATAAATAATAATACCTCTTATGACTATATTATGTAAGAAAAACAGTTTTTTAAGAAAAAAGTGACTAAAAAAATGTAAGCAAGTGGATACTGCTTTACTATTTATAAGATGCTGAGTAAGTTACTATTATGGGTGTTTTAAATTTAAATTAAGTGATGTATCGTTTTATACGTAAAACGATTCTGAGTGGAAATAGTCTGTCAACATGTATCACTAAGTATATTTCATGATATGTTATTTTTTTTTTTTTTTTTATCTATATTAAAGCTATTTATTTCACTCTTAGTATTATGGTAAATTTTTGGATAATTAAGTATTTAATTTTATAATAATATAGATGTATACCATATTATTATATCAACTTATATAACTCAAAATGTAATAACACCTTTCTATAAATATCGTAAACAACATTAAAAAAAGATTTATTACATAAATAGACATTATTTTAAAATAATTCAAAAATGTCATTGTATATAGTTTAGTTCATGGTGATATAATATACGTAAAAGTTTTAAGTTTCCACCAATAATGTTTTTAATTCATAACAAAATTATTAACATTAATATTTATCGTTTAAATAAATAATTACATCTAGATTTTATTTTTTATATTATATTAAACGTTATATACAATCTATATCTATGACACAATAAGAATATTCGCTAAGAATAAAGATGACATAAGAAAAAAAAAAGTTGGATAAAAAAGCCACCCATTGATGATACTTTAATTTATTATAATCCGATTTTTTAATTATCTCGAATATCTCGGCATCACTTACGCATCAAGTATCTTGAGAGATTACTAGGTATAGTATCAGAGACCACATTTTTTATGAATACATTTTTATGTGAATCTAGTCGGTTGTGAAATTCTTTATAAAAGGATTTGACTTTCTCATTTATTGTTATTAGTTTTAGATTTGAATGTACGGCATAGTTGTATACGTAAGTATATGTTAATTTCCTGAAAGCAATATTTTAGAATGTTTTATTTTATTAATCGTCTAAATTTTAAATTTAAATGTAAATAAAATAATAATTTTTTTTATATATTTTAAATTATATGATTTCAGTATTAAGAAAAAGATTTTTTTTATGCATTTCTAACTACAAAATAATTTGTATTTTCCAAGATCTTCACGAATCTTGTAGAGATTTTAAATTTAAGTGTTTATATATATATATATATATATATATATATATATATATTGTGAGTATGAATTTTCTATATTTTTTACTAGGAAATCAAACCACTCATTAGTTTCAAATATTTGTTTCAACTCATTTATAATATTTTTATTGATATTTAAAAAAAAAAAAAAATATCAAGAAAGTCGAAAATTTTAATTATCTTTAAATAGTCCAATAAATTAAACATCTTTAAGAACTTAACTATGTATGGAAAATTACAATGTACATATTTTATGAATATTTAAAATTATAACAAAATAAAGAAATTAATATAACCAACATATAATTGAGCGTAAAAATTCCTGTTTTTCTTATTTTTTTGTTTTTTCCCCTCGATTATAAAAATTTAACTCTTTAAAGTACAAACTAGATATACATTTTTATTTAAAATTACTCTCAAAGTTAAAAATCGACACATTTTATAGATAGCTTATTGTGTACTGATATACAAGAAAACACACACATATGAATGTAAAATCAAGCATTCATCACTCCGCTCATAATCAAAAAATTGATTACTCAACAAATTATTTAAATTTATACTAAAAGCTTTGATATACCTAATATTATGTAACAGTTACTCCAGAATATATACATACATATGCTTCATATATTTTTTCTTAGCAGCTATATAGGTACCGTTAGATTGTTAGTAAAACTTTTTGATCATCT